ACAACGCGCTGACCCTGAGCACGCTATTCCTGACGCTGTCCGTCGGGCAGCACTTTCATTTCACGTGTCCAACAAACTGCGCATCATCACGCACGCCGCGCCCAGCGCCGCGCTTCTTCACGCTACTGGCACTGAGTACCGAGCCGCTGCACTGCACGCGATGAGGCCGTAGCCTGAGACGAACCGGAGCGGGGGCACTTGCCCGCTTCTCGCGTCTTGTCCGCTTGCCCTCGTGTCTTCCTTTCTTGGTGCGGTCGCTCCACCTCCTCCTCCTCCTCCTCCTCATCCTCCTCCTCCGCGCCCTCCCCCTCCTCCACCCCCTAGCATAGTCTGCTCAGGTCTGCAGAAAAATTAATGTTCAGAGGCCCCTGGCCAGCGATGGTCACTTCGGCTCTTGCCTACAATCCTCTGCGTGCGACAGGAAACAGACTCGGGGCGATATCGCTCGAGCGCTCGAGCTCGTCAATGTCAATGTTGTGGGGCTGCCAGGTACACAGAGAGAGGCCGTGTCGGAGTTGGACTAGTCTTCATGATTCAGGATCGAGTTTGCGTAGACGCAGGATAGAGAACAGGGGACTTCACACACCGCTGAACAGGAGTCATCGCGGTGCCCCCGCAAGGATGGAAACAACGTGGCATGCGTGTAGCATTCCCACCTCCTGCACTCCAGGGCCGATGGGGTCTCAGCCGAGTGCGGCAAGGGGGGCGTGGGAAATGTGTATCATGGTACTTTACTTCCCTCCTCGCCCGTCATCTGCAGTTGGTATGAGAGCGTACCTTGTTTGCTGCTGTCAGTTCTCGTCTTGGGCACAAGGGCAGCTCAAGAAACGACCTGGCCGATTTCATCCCATAGTATTGGCTGATGTTGTTGTTGGCGTGGGTTTAGTCAAGAGAGAGGGGACGCAGGAGGAGGTGGAGACGGAGGCGGTGGGGAGGATACGGGCTAATGAGCGACACCATGGAGGAGGAGGCCGGAGGTTTCGTGAGCTGCTAGAATCAGCCGACCTGCTCGCACACACCACGCTGAGAGAGTATGCCCCGACTTTTTACGGAGGGAATCGCAACAGCTCGATGTTGGACCATGTGGCCATCCCTATTCGTTCGTGCGACGCTGTGCAGTGTGTCAGCCCAATTCACGCCATAGGACGCAAGTTGCTGGTAGTACCCAGCCGCGAACCTAGAGACCATATACCCTTACAGGTCCAGGTCCAGGTTCAGAGATGGGGGCGGGGGCAACAGCAACAACCAGTGCAGGCCCTTGATGGCCTTGAAGGGGAAACTATTAAATGGAAGAGGGATGTGCTTTTGCAGAGTGTTCTCGGCGGGCCCGTTCGGGAAGCTTTTATCCAGGAGGTTGAGGCTGCTCTAGGAGAGGTCTGGGGTCATATGCTGCTACAGCCTCATGACACTCCTTGGCCAGATGAGCTCGTTGCGAAAGTAGGTTCGGTTCTTCGCCGCTTGGGTGCTAAACCTTTCTCTCATGGCTCGCAAAAGACGGGCGTAAAAACTACTCAGTGCCAAGAGCGCCTTGAACTGCTCGCCCTTCGTCGCCAGCTTCCCGGGCAGATCTCAGCTCTCAAAGATGACGAGTATCAGGCGTGTTGTGAGAAACTTCGTGATGCCACCCGTCGCAGTAAGGCTCTCTACCGTCGTCGTCGTCATGATCGACATGAAAGGATCGTTTGGGAGATCTGGGACGCCTGGCGAGCTCGCGACTTCTCTTTGGTGAACTGGCTATCGCTACGCCTCGCAGGAGGACGTTTCGGCCGCGCCATGCGAGATCTACGGAAGCTGGACGGCGCCTTGTCAACGGCTGATCAGTGGATGGAGGTGTGGGGACACAAGGGAAGAATGAGATAGATGGGGGCTACTCGCGCTACGTGGTCAGACTTCTGTGAGCATCAGAATGCGCTGGCCAATACTCCTGGGCTGATGGACGACTCCCGCGCGTCACCGGCTTGTTTTCGTGCTGCGTTCGACCTGGAGCTGATTCAGAAATATTTCTCGAGGGCCCGAAAGCGAAGAGGGGTTCCAACGTGGGCGCTTCCCATGGAGCTCTGGCATGTATGTATAGGCTCACCTACTGCTCATGCTGCCTCCACTGCTCGTGATGGTCTCGGGTCCGACTATAGCAATATTGATGTATACTATTCTAAGCTATTGCTCCATAGGGTCATTGCTAGCATTCGGTACTGGGGCGTTGTACCAAACTGTGGAATATTAGTCAGAGATTTGCTCTGCACCTCCTCCTCCTGCTCCTCCTCCTCCCTCCTCCTTCTCCTCCTCCTTTTCCTCCTCGTCCTCCTCCTCTTCCTCCTTCTCCTCATCCTTCTGCTCCTCCTCCTCCTCCTCCTCCTCCTCCTCCTCCTTCCGCTTTCTCCCATACCACCTTCCAGGGCCGATTATACTGCGTCTTTACCTCTCGTTTCGGCTCCCCCCCCCGCTCTTCGACGGTGGTTCCGAGGCCTCGGCATCAGCCTGCGGGCGTCGCGCGCGGCGCAGTCCGATCCGTGCGCGTCGTTCCCTTGCCAGGCCGCCTCGGGTGTCGCCCGACCTTTGGGCAGCGACAAGAGGGGCCGCCACTTGGGGGGTCACCACCTCTTCCCGCAACTCGAGGATCGAGGGGGGGAGTGGGGATTGAAAATCGAGGAGGTTTTAGATGTTCTCAGGGACGTTTCTGTGAGCCCTTGGGGGGGCTTCTCTTTCATGGAGGAGACCATCCTTAGTGGGGTTGGCGCCACCGCCTTTTGCGCGCCGCCACTACGTCCTCCCTTCTCGCACTTCCCGTTCTGCCCCGCTTTTAGAGTGTCCTGGCAAACCATTGCGCCGGATAGTATTCTATGGTCTCAAATGGAGGAACCTTACGCGCAGGGACAACAGCAGACTCAGGGTGAGTGAGCCTGCTGGCTAGTTCGTCGCCCCCTTCCTCCTTTTCCCGTCTCCCCTGCTTGAGACTTGGTTTGCAGATTTGTCGGCGCCAAGGCGCAACCGCCCCGCCCCTCGCAGGGCCGTCCCTCGTGACGCGGGGGCGCAGTGTTCAGTCTGTGTGTGTGTTGTGTTGTGTTGTGGTGTGTTGTGTTGTGTGTGTGTGTGTGTTCACCCTCCCCCTTCCCACAGCGTGGTTGCGAATGAACTCCAGGTCCCAGTAGGGTCGTGCGAGGACATCGGCTGGCACCCCGTCCACGACCGCGGCGAGTGTCGGAGGGCCGCGGGGGAGCTCCGCCTGGAGGATCACGCGGGCTGGTGGCAATTTCCAGGTCGTGGAGGTCAGTGTTCTCCTATCCCTGGTGTCCGATATGTGTCCACACGCGAGGCTGGGCCTTCTCCTCCTCCTCCTACTCCTCCTCCTCCTCCTTCTCCTCCTCCTCCGTCCTTCTCCTCCTCCTCCTCCTCCGCCTCGTCCTCGTCCTCGCCTGGGGATCCGATGTCCTCGGGGACCTCAGGGGGCGGTGGGCGTGGATCTGGCCCCAGAGGGCCCAGCCCGAACATGTCCATGGTCACGGCTTTCTGAGGTCCTGGGAAAATTCTGTTCCCAGGCGGTGGGTGTGAAAAAGTACAAGCTTGGGTAGCAAGATGCCCCAAGGGATTCGGAACACATTCAGTACCGTAGAACTGTGTAGCATACGTACCTAACTACATTTGGCAGAACAACAAAATACGTCAACTGTGCTGCATGCAAAGTTCCTGGGGAGTGTGCCCCTCTCCTCTCCCACCCCTCCTCCTTGTCCCCCTCCTTCTCTTCCTTCATGCTCCTGGTGTTCATCTTCCTCTGCCCTACTTATCCTCCTGCATCCCCTTCCCCTCATCGTCCTCGTCATCCGTTCCCTGCCCCCGCCCCTCATCTTCCTCCTCCTCCTCCTTCTCCTCTTCCCCCTCTTTGTCAGCTGCCCCTCCTCCTCCAGCCGCCTCCTCTTCCTCCTCCTCGTTCCTCCTCTTCACCCTCCTCCATGATACGCTTCCTTCTGCTCCGCCTCCTCCTCGTCCCCCCTGCGGGGGGGAACACTTGAGGGGGCTGGGCGGCGCCAACTAATCTCCCACACCGACAGGAGGCGCCGCTGGCCGCCACGCCGAGCCTGCGTTTCTCTGGGCCCAGGAGCAGTGTGTACGTGCTCTCTCCCGGCCAGGCCAGGAGGGCGGATGCGCCTGTGCGGGGACGCCGAGGGACCCCACTCGGGATCAGTTTCGGGGCGCACGTGGGCATCTTGGGGGCTTGCTCGTCAGGGACAGCGAGGGGGACAGGCTCAGGGGCGTTGCATCGACACCCAATCGCCCAGTCATCGCCGATGCGGGGTCTGACAGCCCACCCTGTCCAGGACCGCGCGGATTTGCTATCGGGTGCCCATCGCCGACCGATCGACGATGCATCGCCGATTCCAGATCGACGCTTCCCCCCCTGAGCTGTATCCCAGCTATCGTTCTGCTTCAGCTGCAGCACACTTCTCCAGCCACCCACCGTTGACCCTTCGGGTTGGTTCCCCGTCTGACAGGACACGGGCGATCCCGTATCCACCATGCTCGCCGAGCGTCCCGCTGGCTGCTATTACCTTCAGAACTACCAGGAGAGCACCAGAGGTGGAGGAGGAGGAGGAAGACGACGAGGAAGAGGAGGAGGAGGAGGAGGAGGAGGAGGAGGAGGAGGCCGATTTTTGGGCGAAGCGGTCTTTGTAGCAATATTTGCACACTGCAGGAGGAGGAGGAGGAGAAGGAGGAGGAGGAGGAGGAGGAGGAGAAGGAAGGCTTGTTGGAGGAGGAAGTGGATTCGGATGGGGAGTAGGATGCAAAGTAGGTGGTAGGAGAAGAGGGACGACGGCCACACGCGGAATTATGAGGAGAGAAATCGCCGAGAACGAGGAGACGAGGGGTGGTTGAATGAGTGGAAGGAGCAAGAGCAGAAGCAGGAGGCATGGGAGGAGGAGGAGGAGGAGGAGGAGGAGGAGGAGGAGGAGGAGGATAGATTTCGATGACGAGGGGGGGAACGAGGAGTGGGGGAGAGCACAGATCCCGCCGCGTCGTGATTTTGGCCCCTGTGAGCCCTTTCCTGGCTTGGGGTCCGTCGAAGAACGGCTCTGGATGAAAAGTTTATCCTTGGGAAGGGGTCCAGACCTCTGAGGGTCCATGTCATGAACCAAGACGCGCGATCTCGGGGTTTGGAAATGAGGAGGAGGAGGAAGGACGGCACCGGCACGCTGTGGCTGAACGAGAACCCCTACAGCGATGGCAACGGTGCAGAGACCTCGGAGCCGGAGCTGGGGAAGCTCAGGCAGCCCATCCAGGTGGGGTTGAGCACGAGCACCAACTCCTATTTCCCCTCGCCTGTTCCCACTCCTGCTCCACCCCCTCTGCTCTTCATACTCCCCCCTCCTCCTCCTCATCCTCCGCCTCCTCCTCTTCCTCCTTTTCGTTTTCCCTTTTACTCCAGCACTCGCCCCTTGCTTGTACTTCCCAGGCGGATGCCCCTCCTGATCCTCCTCATTATTCTTCTCCTTGGTTTCCTCCTTCTTCTTCTCCTCCTCTTCTTCCTCCTTTCCATCCTCCCTCCCACTCTTTTCTCCTTTCCGTAGCCATTTTGGCTCAAGATGCTTGGTTCCCTTGGGGCCAAAACGGATACCGCTAGTCCGCGGCAGCTTTCACCCCTCACGGAGGTCCCTCGACCCACAGTGCGCGACCAGAGGCTCCCGACGGAGGAGTGCGCATCTGTGGCGGGGGGGTCGATAGCCTCCAAGCTTCCTCAGCCATGGCGCCGGCGCTGTGGCACTCCCCGAAGCAGGACCGGATGTGCAAGTTCTGCGTACACAAGAAGTCCGGCCTCCCTCTCGTCAATTGGGGCAGCAATGATCGTTGCTTCATGTGTCATGTTCACAAGTCCGCCAGCTTCAAGTGTGTGCGCGCCCTCGCCATCCCTTAATGTGCCTGGAGGCAAGGACAAAGATACCTTCAGCAAGCTGGTACGCGTTGAGGAGCTCGAGAAGGAGAACGCCACCCTCAAAGGCGGGGATGGTGGTGCAGGACCGATGCAGGCAGACACCGCCAACGAGCCAGCTGAACTTCGGGAGGAGATTGATTCCTTGTCCAAGCATGTTCAGTGGCTGGAGACGACAAAAGGGGATTGGACAAAAGCTGCCTTGGCTTCAGCTCAAGCTCGGTTGGAAGCCGCCCGAGCTAAACTTCATGAGAACAAGCCCCTTTGCGCGAAGCTTAGCGTATTATCGAGGAGAGTGGAGCAAGCCCGTAAGCAAAAGGAGAAGGCCATTGCAGACCTTGCTGTGGCACAAGCAGCTTTGGAAGCAGCTCAGAAGGCGCTGGCGGAAGCCGACGCACTCATCACTGAGAAGAATCAGGCCTGCGAGAAGCTGGAGTTGGAGCTGTCAGACCTCACCCAAAAGGGCACGGGCACAGGTGAGATGGTGGTCGATGAGGCCAAGCTTGAGGATGTTCTCTCAAGCATGGAAGGTATCAGCGACCCGAAGAAGGCTGCCCCAGCGCTGGTGGCTGCTCTCAGGGCGCAAGGGTGGCCTTCTTGCAGAGCCAGTTCGGTTGCACCGTCGTGGACAGGCCACCTGGGAGCCTGACAGAGAAGATATTGCAGCTCTTCGAGAACAGGTCAAATAATATGTGGAGCCGACCGCTGGGGGAAGTATTGTCAGAGCTCGTGCACGTTCCTTGGCAGCAGGAGGATTTCATCCCTATTGATTCCCCCCCTGCCGCGGACGCGGCAGACCGTGGGGGCAAGCATCACAAGATCAAGTACCGCAAGAAGTTCGTTTTCAAATATGGGGGGTCAGACTTCCCCGACTACTCGGAGCTCAGGCTGTCAGAGTTTTAAGGAGAGGAAGACCCTATCGTTAAACCATGTGTAGACATTTCTATTGTCAGCAGTTGGGAAGACAAGTCCAACACCGAGTTGATTCAGCAGCTCAAGTGGGATGCGGGTTCGCAGCCTTCAAGTTCCATACCAGTACCGACCACTCTGTCATTAGTTACGTACAATAGGGATGTCTGGAGCACGATGCAAGGTTTTTGTGGAATGAACGGTGCTGGACAAAGCAGACCAGCCCGACATCATTTTTGGCCAGGAGCACAGGTTGCGCAACGGCGACCAGCTGAAGTCCGCACAAAACTGGGCGCGAGAGCGCGGCTACAAGTTCCTGGCCAAGGGGTGCGCCATGACTGGTAAGAAGCCCACGGAGACATCCAGCGGGGTGGGCATCCTCACATTAGGCCACATTGCCAGCATAGAGTACCACCCGAACAACGAGTTCGACAAAGCCAGGCTCTTCTTCCAGCGCGTCATGCTGGGAGGGATGCATGTGCTGCTGGTCTCCATCTACGCCATCTGCAGTGTAGGCGTTGCAGGCAACATTGATTTGATTGCCTCGTTGCTCGAGGCTTTGCGCGCAGCATGCCTGCCATTTATCACGGCAGGCGATTGGAATTTTGAGGCCGACTCATCCGGCAGAGATACGTTTCTTCGGGCAGGTTTTCCCAGTCAGTTGCACGCAGAAGTTGTGCACAGCGGAAAGCCAACATGTTACGATTCACACTATGATGTTTCGTGTTCAGTGATGTTTACCTCCCGCTTGTCAAAACCAACTCTGTTCTGGAAGGCACCCCCGTCGGGCCCCACAGGGCTGTCAAACTTGCCCTGGGAGGGCTCGGGGGCCGCAGTTTTATTTACAGACGGTTCAAACCCGATCTCTTCCCTATGCCCCAGTCGGGGCAACCTTTTGTCCAAGGAGATGTCTCGAGCTGGCCAGTCTTCGACCATAAAGAGGGGGAGTCGGTGGATGTCTGGCGCGCCGCTGGTTTCATTCTGCCGGGCTCTATGCGTGCATGTTTCTGGCCATTCCAGCTTCGGAAAGGCCGCGTCATTGTGGGGGGGAGCTAGGCTGCCGTCTGGAAAAAGTCCCTCTCGCTTGTGAATGGGGCAAGAGCCTGCGTCGAAAGGCGCCCCCCCCCCCCCCCCCCCCCCCCCCTACTCACTCAAAAGCGGCTTAGCATTAGGCGCCTCACAATGCAATGGCTCCGCGCTTCAGACACCACCAGCTCTGCCCAACAGGAGTCGAAGGCCAGCGCTTAGCGTCGCCTTAGCGAGTTGGGGGGGCGCGTGGGACACGGGAGGTGGGGCGGGCGTCGGCAGAGTAGGTTTCGAGATCAGCGATTGTGAATCCTTCCTGAGGCAGCTCGCGAATGATGAGCAGAAGGGAGACGCTTGCAAATTCGTTCAAGATAAAGCGCTTGCGCACACGGCTGCGGACGCAGCCGCCGCCAGAGCCAGCTGGAAAGAGTTTTCGGAGCTTGCCTTTCAAAACGGCGCTGGTGTGGCGCACCGTTTTTCCAAGGGCCCAAGGGGCGCTGATCCATCTGGCCAGGGTTCCAGCGGGCTTCCAGTTGTAGGACATGCTGCCCTCCAGGCCATGCTAGGTGCATGGGTGAGTTTGCGGGTTGTGCCTGAGCGTGATAGAGAAGCCCGCCCGCTCACCTGGTCGGTCGAGGATGCACCGCCTCTCCCAGTGATGGGGCCTCACAGGGTCAAGTCGGTGTTGCAGACGTTCAAGGCGAAGACAGCGCTGGGGTGGGATTGTTGCCACCCGCGCTGGATTTACAGTTTGCCTGCCGGGCTGGTAGCATCGCTCTCTGCGCCATTGCGCCTCTGGGGAAACAACCCCGAGGACACTGACATGATGCTAACAGCTACAGTGTTCCTTGCGACGCCCCAAGGTGGAGTGCGCCCAACAGGGCCCCCCCCGCTTTCCTGTCGCATCTGGCCCCGTCTGAGGCACTCGGAAGTGGCCAAATAGGAGGGCACCCTTGGGGGCAGTTTCTTTTGGGGCTCCTCGTCCGAAACCTCGCGTGATAAATCGGCCTGGGTTCACAATGCGTTGGCGAGTGTTGCCCCTGTTTATAACTTTGCAAGCGTGAGTGCGCTTGCTGGTCTTAGGAAGTTCTATGAAATGATTAGTCGCTTAGAATTATTTTGCGCTGCTAGGGATACCGATCTTCCTATAAGGTTGTTAAAACCATTGTGCTGCATGTACAGGGGCCCTAGAAGGGCCACATGCCAGAGATCGATGTCGGGAGAACTTCGAGCTAATGGAACAGTGGTGGCAGGATGTTCATGTGCAACAGGCCTGGCTAAACTGATGACCATCACGACGCTGCGGCACATAGGGGTCAGATGTCCCACGGTGCGGATCAAGAACCTCATCGACGACATAAGCCTCCACGCTATCGGTGGCAGGCATGCAGTCACCAGGGAAATGAACTATGCCCTGAACAATCTCCTCGTAGGCCTCCAGCGCAAGGGCCTCCCGATCTCTTGGGACAAGATGGGGATTCTCTGCAGGGACAAGGAGTTGTCTTTTGATGTTTGTGAGGACCTCTTGGGCATTTGGCCAGATAACATCCCATTCTTGAAGCATGCTCAGTACCACAGGGACCTAGGAGGTGATGCTGTGGACGGTCGCTATCGTAGAGTCGGGACCCAGTTGAAAAGGGTCCAGGAGGCCATGAGGAAGGGGGGCCGTATTCAGGCCTTGCAGGGCCTTGGTGTGAAGAGATCGGCGGTTCATCGTGCTGGAGCACTATCCCAGAGCCTCTGGGGTTTTGTAGCAGAGCGGGGGCCCCCAACGGGCGAATTCGGCAACTACGGATGTCCTTTTCTCAATGCCGCGGGAAGGTTCAAACCAGGGGCCCACGTAGGCCTTGCATTGCAGTTCTCAGAGGGCGGGCGGAGAACAGACCCGGTCGTTATCGCGACCGCCGATGCCATGCAGACGTTCGTCACCATCTTGGCGGCTGGCATGGTCTCTAGCAGAGTGGTAAATGACCTCATTGCGGATGCAAGGCCCTGGCGTCAAGATCGCCGCGCCTGGAACAAAGTTAAGAACCTTGTCGCAGCTCTCGCACTATCTCTTCACAGAATCGGCTGGGCGCTTGTGCATGCAGCTACAGTTCGAGACGACGAAGGCAGAGACTGGGACACCTTATTACTCGGCCGAGCTTTTCTCCGACATTGTCAAGAAGGGCGTTCAGAGACAAATCAGCAGAGACGTTCTTCGAGGTCTACGCGGCGCAGATAAAGAACCGAGGCTTGGAGATATCTCTTGGGGGCCGATGCAGGCAGCAATGAAGTCAAAAAAGCTCCCCCCACACGAGAGGCGCTCACTTCGAGGCCTCTGCACAGGAGGACATTGGTGCCGGGCCAGAGTTGCCCGCGCCTTCCCAGACCAGGGTCGCCTGTGCACGCGCTGTGGCATAGCGCCTGGTACATTATTTCACAGATTCTTCTGCTGCGACGCCTACTCTGGGCAACGACAGAATTTAATCCTCGATATCATTCGCAAAGCGGCAACTGGAATAGGCAGGTCGCAGCCAGCTGTGCAAGAAAAACTTGCGCGAGGCATTCTACAGAATCCAGGCCAAGCCTTTGCCGACCCGCCGCGCTCGTCAGATTCCGACTTCCTCGATGTTGACAACGCGGGAGTTGTGACGATCTCAGATGGGTTCGTCTTCGTCGACGGCAGCGGGTTCCGCGCCAACATTCCTGAACTAAGAGTTGCAGGTTGGGCTGTGATAGATTTCGACAGTTCTCGCCGCCGAGTCGGACGTTTTTGCGGCTCAGTACCTAAACAGATTGGGCCGCTTCAGGCGGCAAAAGATGGATAATAGTATGATATAGATCAAGCAAGCAGTTTGGTTCTTGGGGCGTGGACTCTTCACTCAGATTGCCAGAGCTCGTTATCATGCTGTTTCAACCAATCATGGGCGGCGGGAGCTAAGTGCGCACGAGCTCATACTTGGAAAATGACAAGTCTGAGGGGAGATTTTCGAGACCAATATTTTGTGCATGTCAAGGGCCACGCAACCATGAGAGACGTTCGGGAAGGATCCATATCTCACTTTCAAATGGGCGGCAGCGGGGAGGCGGACTCCTGGGCCAATCACGGAGCCAAGCAGCACCTGCCCCCAGAGCAGCAGATCAGGTTCGTGAAAGGATGCCGCAGATTTCATCGCCTCTTGCTGGAATACCTGGCGAGATTCGAAGTATGGTTTTACTCTCAAGATGATGAGTTTCTTGACTACAGCTTCCCCGTGGCCGATGATGATGATGCAAGCAAGGATCGAGCAAGCTTTACGCGCCGAAGAAAGTTCAACCGAGCCTTGGTTTGTGGGCAAGCACGCACTGTATGAATACAAAACAGCGGGGCTGGATTATAGTTTGGTATTTTGTACGACGCGCTGCAAGTATTACAACCTGGAGTCGCACAAGGGTCTTGATGGGATGTGCCCTGGGCGTTCTGTGACAGGACGCGTTGTTGAAAATACGAGGCACTTCCAGAACCTCAGGCACCCGCAAAGTTCAAAGAAGCATGTGAAGCTGGAAGGCCCCTTTCGGCCGTCGGCGTCGACAAGGAAGACCATGTGCAAGGTCAAGCACTGGATAGATCCTTTGGTGGACACAGTTGCGGAGAGGCCAGCGGCAGCACCGCCTGCGGCAGCCTGCTGGTCCAAATACCTAGACGTGCCCAGAGTCCTCCAAGGATATGGGCTATCATATGACGAGGTTCAGGAGCTGGGCCAACCTAGTCCCGAAGCAGGCTCCGATGGAGGCAGCGATGACGAACTCTTTTGCTGACAGCCTGGCTGCTACAGGCTCGGCTATCAAATCCTGCCGAAGGCAGGTGCAGATGTCGCCAGGCAGGTGCAGGCCAGCCAGGGCCCTTGGGATTGCAGCGTCGCTGGCCCTTGGGCACCTTATGTGCCGGCCTGCATCCAGCCAGTTTTGCATTGGGCGGCTCGTACATGGTTGGGCTGTACCTCGTGAGAGTCGGCATAGCCCTCGTCGTCGCCTTCCGCGTGGGCTCCTTTTGCCTCCTGTGCGCGCTGGGCCACCGGTGGTTCGGGCCCGCTGTCCTGTCGCTGGGAGCGCTGCGCGTGGGGTTCCACGGCTTGGCAGGCATCGTGCTCGTGAGCACGGGCCTGCCGCAGGCCCCGTGCTCCCTGGGCGCGCGGCCGCCCCGCCAGGTCCGACTGGCTCCCTCACCCCCGCCTCGGCGCTTGCAACGCGGTTCCTGGCCCTGTGGGCTTCGTGGTGCAGGTGCTTGGGTGGGGGTTCAGGTGCTGGGGTGGGGGTTGGGGGGGACTAGTGGGCCCTCCGCCCGACGCCGCGGGCATACCCAACCGCCTCTCGGCTGCTCGCTCGCTCCCTCCCCCTCCTTTCCATCCTCCTACCTCCCCATACCTCCGACTCAATAACGTTGACCCCCAGAGGTCTCGACTCATTCGCCAGGACCACTTTTTCATCCAGGTGTTTTTGACGGTTGCGAGACCCAGTAAGGGCTCCGCGATGCCGAAAATAGCCGACAAGTTCCTTCCACATTCGGATGAAGGAGAGAAGACACCACCATCGGCGGGGTGGTGGTGGTGGTGGTGGAGGAGGAGGAGGAGGAGGGGAGGGGGAAGGGGAGGGGGAGGGGGAGGGGATGGATCGAATCAGAGAAAATTGCATGAACATAAACCTTTGGAGTTCAGCGCGGACTTCTTGGATCGGCGCTGGGCCCCCCTCCCTGGCGCGCGGGGCGCGCCATGGGCCCAGCGCCGATCCAAGAGATCCGCGCGGAACTACGACAGTTTATGTTTCTGCTGTTGCTCCTCTAGGGAGGGGGGAAGAGGAGGAGGAGGAGCAGGAATGGAAGGAGGAGGACGAGGAGGAAGAGGAGGAGGAGGTGCCGCTTTTCTTTTTCCTGCGCCCCCTCGCCCGGCTTTGTGGGGTTGGTGCATCGTTGTCGGCCCCCCTGCCATCTGCAGCACAGAGAAGCGGAGCGCGCCAGCTGGCGACCCCTTCCGCGGGGACCCGCCCCGCTTCAGGAAGATCTCCAACGGCACTTGCGCGGATGCAGGCGCGCGCGTGGTTGGAGCAGGAGGAGGAGGAGGAGGAGGAGGAGGAGGAGGAGGAGGAGAAGGAGGGGCAGAGAGGGGGAGGATGAGAGGACGGGGAGGAGGGAGGAGCATGAGGCAATGGCAATGGTCATGGTGCATCGGGGAGTCCGCCGGGCCGCTACGCGGCAGGGGCATGCAATGCCCCTTCCTTCAGAAGTAATCAATCAGCGTGCTGTACACGCGACCATGCGAACACGAACTCCGTGAGGGGTATGACTGCCAGACCAGCAAGCTGGCAAGGCACAGCCGCCCTCGCCCCGCAGCCACCCCAGCGCCTCCCACCCCTCGGTGGCCTCACTCAGGCTTAGGTTGACGAGGGCTGCCCCGCTTAGTGGCCTCTGCCTCCAGCTCGGCTGCCCCGGCGTCCAGTGCCGCCAGTTCGGCTGCAAGCTGGGCCGCCCCCAGGGCCTCTTCGGCCAACGCGGACTTCTCGGCAGCCAGCACGACCCACGAGGCGCCCAGGCGCTCCTTGCTTGCCTCTACCGCCCTCTGAGCCGCCGCCAGCGCCGCATCGACTCCCGTCGGAGCGGCCGTAGTTTTCTTTGTCTGTTTAGCATTCGTACTTCCATTATTGTGAATATTAGGGTTGTTATCCATCTTTGGCCTCATTCGCATTTTTTAGCATTGGTATTATTATTCGTCGCATTATTACTTTCGTTGGTATGCTTATGATGTATTGTTCTTAGTCGTATGTCGTATCAGTCTTAGTCTTATGATTCGTAGTACCAGCCTCCGTCGTATTAGTAAGTGTGGTATTATGTTCATTGCTATGATTATGTTGCTTCTTCTCTTCAGTTTTCTTCTCCTTATTATCATAGTGTCTTCTGCATGGTTCCACCGCGACGGCTTTCCAACGACGGCCTGCACGACGGGCTGCCCCCAGTGCCTCCAGCTCCCGCTCCGCGAGCGTGACGGCCTCGTCAAGGAGGGCGTCCTCGTCCTCGCCACCACCTGTATCGACGAGCGTCTCACGATCACATGGGGATTGCTCTGCAGAGCTGCTAGCCACGGCAGCTCTGCTCCTCAAACTGTTTCGTGTCAGGAGGTCCCCGACGTGCTTCTGCACGACCGTCGCCACCCTGCGCTCCTTGTTCCATGTTACCGACGTCCTGCGCTCCGCACGCTGCGTCGGCCCCAGTCCCCAGCGCCAGCGCCTACCACCTCCGCCTTCGCGATGGTATCCTCAGACTCGCAGCGCCTCCTCGATGCAGTGTGTGCCAGCTGCCCACGTCCTAAGCGTCGCAGGCCCCCTCAGCGCCAGCCCCCTTCGTCTTCACGACCGCGCAGCCAGGAGGTGACAGCTACAGCAGCGCCGCCCCGGGGATCCCTAACGCCAGCCCTTCGCGATACTTTTCTCGGCTGCCGATTGCTCGAGGAGCATGACGAGGACCCCGCGACCCTGCCTGAGCCCCTCCGCCGCACTGAGCCGCTCAGCAGGCAGCGAAGGTCCTATTAGCGCTTGCCCATCTGCCCACTCGTGGAGGACGACGCCGAGGAGCGGCACCGCGCCTGCCAGCCAGCACGCGCAGCCGCAGCAGGCGTACCAAGCGCCTCTGGACGGCAGCTTTCGAGCCATCTATGGCTGGCATCAGTGAGCCATTTCGAAGCACGCCCGTGCAAGCTGGGGCGGCGGCCGCCTCGCGCGCCCGCCCATTTGAGCTCCAGCCGAACGTGCTGGGAGGAGAAGGAGGAGTTGGAGGAGGAGGAGGAGGAAGAAGAGCAGAAGGAGGAGGATAAGGAGGACGAGGCGAGAGAAGTAGAGACGGGGAGGAGGAGGGGGAGGATGAGGAGGAGGAGGAGGTGGAGGAGGAGGAGGAGGAGGAGGAGGAGGAGGAGAGGGAGGAGGAGGAGGAGGAGGAGGAGGAGGAGGAGGAGGGAGGAGGAGGACGGGACGAGGAGGCGGAGGAGGAGGAGGAGGAGGAGGAATGCGAGGAGGAGGAGGAGGAGGGGGAGGACGAGGAGGAGAAGGGGGAGGTGGAGGCCGGGAAGGAGGAGTATGGAGGATGTGGAGGCTGAGTCTGAGGAGGGAGGAGGAAGAGAGGTAGGATGAGGAGAAGGAGGATGAGGAGGAGGAGGAGGACGAGGAGGAGGGGGAGGAGGAGGAGGAGGATGAGGAGGGAGGAAAAGGACGAAGAGGCGGACAAGGAGGAGGAGGAGGAGGAGGACAAAGAGGAGGAAGAGGAGGATGAGGAGGAGAAGGAGGAGGAGGAGAGGGAGCAGACGCTTCTCGGCTGAGGAGGCCCCTGTAGCTTTTGTGTATGAGTCCTCAGCGACGCCACCGCTGATGCCGCGTACAGGATACTTTCAGACCCTTTGTGGCACAGACTCGCGCGCCGCACGGGCACGCCACAGGGCGATGCTGCGAGTGTACAGCGCAGGCTTGGCATTGCAAAGCCATCGCACGAGCCCCAGGGGTCTGATCAAGACATGGCAGTGCCCAGCGTGCAGCGACGAGCTCCTTTTCTCTCAGGGTACCCGCGGGTGTGGATACGACAGGTACGCGCTTTCAGACGCATCGACACCTTGAAGGACTCGCGCAGGAGACTGCGCGAATCTTAGAGAGGCAGACAAGCAGAGCGAGAGAGATTCAGCGACCCAGTTGGTGGCCAAAGTGGAGACCGCTCCCCCAGACCGTGCCACGAGCGAGGAATACAAACACATCTACATCAAGGCCCCCGCCCGGTGGACTAGAAGGACGCGCTGGAAAGCATCGGAGGGATATCAGAGAGAGGATTCGGACACGTGGCGCCCTCATCAAGCAGTTAGGCAGCTGGGCGAAAACCATCCAAGTCGAACCTCGTAGATAGAAGCTTCCTGACATACACATTATGATGGAGATTTCAGGAGCGGAAGCGCATGTGTCAATAGCACGTAGACACTATGAAAGGAAACCGACACCGTTCATATTTCCCTTGCTGCAAGACAACGAGTTGAAGGATAAGTACCCCAATGCCGAACAGCTTGTTCAGACAATCGAGTTGGCCATCATGCAGCTCAGGAAGGCGATGGAAGACGAGTCCCAGGGTGCACCAGTTGAAATGGAGGTGACGAGAGAGGCTGGGGATGGCGTTCGCAGAACTCCTACAAGACTTCCATTAAGCGCGCCAGCTTGCCTACAATCATCTCCTTCGGAGACACCAGCTACAGGCCCTAGCTCACATACTCCAGTCGCGTGGCAGCTCATACCGTCAGCAGAGGAGGCATCCACCACATTGCAAAGCTGCGCGCGGCCAGCCTCCAGCATGAGAATTGCATAAACCAGCAGATGTCTGCGATGAAAGATCCGATGATTCCAGCGGACTCGGACACTGCCGAGTGCTGGAACCAGCTGAGGATGGCGAGAGACCAGCCCTGGGTAAATAGACCGCCCGCCCGAAACAGGCATCCGCCCCCTACTGGGACGAGCCGGGCCCCATCAGCACCCTCCGTTTGCGCGCGAGGTTGTGGAAGCAGGACTTTCTGGGAGCAGCAGGCGCAGAGAGCACGAGCTGCAGGGGCCACATGCTTGGGGGCTTTCAGAGCGCCCGCGGCCCAGGAAGGCCAACTGGCACCCTGGGCGCCTGCGGCTTCGCTGTCCAAGCCTGTCGACGCGCCTGCCAGCTCGACGCCAGCAGGTGGGCCATCGCTGGCGACCCCCCCCGCGGCCCTGGCAGGCCCGAGCGCAACCGCATGCCCTTGGAATAATGAAGCACCCCGCGGAGCCATGCGCCGCGTGTGTCCCCACTCTGGGGCGGAGGGTTTGGGCTGGGCCTGGGAGGGGGCGGCGCGCCCGCGCAGGAGGCCCTCCGCCAGATCTCGGCATGACTCGTCGGGGGGATTTTGGGCCTCAGCCCTCAAGGCCCAGCCACCTGAGCTCTGCAAGTTGTTTGCGGAATGTATATGGCAGGACTTTAACGCTTGGGCCCTCGACGGGGAGCGCCCTTAGGTGGTGCCCCCATCAGGCCAAATGTTTCTGTGCGCCGTTCGACCCGTACTTCAGCGTCCAGGGCAGCATGGTTGTTCAAGGACTGCAAGCCCAGCCCGAGGCGCATTGGGAGGTGCCTACGTAAGGTTATTGCGCGTGTGAACTTTGCGCGCATCGGCCATGAATCATTGCGTGAGAAGTAGAAACGAATATCGAAGGACCGCAGGCGCGGATATAGCCATAGCCGAGGGTTGCACGCAACGGGGTGCGATGCGCCGAGATAGGCTGCCTGGAGCAGATGCAAAAAGTCGATTTGGCACGGTTCGAGTTTGGATTCGTTCGATCTGGCTTGCACGCGGCGCGCCCCGAAACGGTGGATAAACAGGTGAGTGCAGGAGGGCCACGCCCCGACGGTGCCCCAGTTGAGCCATCCGGTGGCAGCGGCCACCCCGCACCGTGTCCCAACACCGCGCAGGGCCTACAGGCCTTGGGCGCCGAGGTGGGTGGGTGACCCGCGGCTGGGGCAACCGGGGGCCTGCAGGCCACTGAAGGGCCAGCAGGCCAAAGAGGGGCCCAGTGGCCCTGGCCAAGGATGGGCCCGCAAGCCGGGGAGGGGCCGGCAGGCCGTGGAGGGGCCCGCAGGCCGTGGAGGGGCCCGCAGGCCAAGGAGGGGCCCTCAGGCCAGTGAGGGGCCCGCAGGCCGATGCAACGGGCGTCGTTTTGCGCGATCCCGCCTTGCTGCGGTCACGCCGCTCGCCCCGCGTTCCCGCACGCGTGGACGAGGGTGGCGGTGAGGCTCTTCGCGGCGATCTCGTCGAGGATGTCCGCGTCGCTCAGCACCTACGCTGCCACGGTGTCCAGCCCGAGGGGCCTTTGCGCTCCAGCGCATAGGGAGCATGTATGCGGGAACCCCGCCTGGGGCAGCCACTACACATCTGCAGGAATCTCGGAGGTAGCTCGTGCCACGCACCAAACCCTGTGAAATCTCCATGTCGATGCCCCCCACCCCGCCCATCGAAGGTCGACGGGACACTGTTCTTGCAGAGGCAGCACCCTGGCGACGGGCAGCAGGCCGTTGTCGCTGAGCTCGCCCAGCTGTTCGCAGAACCGCGCGCCCTCCGCCTCGCGGATCTTCGGCAACACCGCCGCGCGGGCCCACGAGCGGGCTGCGGGCCCCTTGCCCCGCCCCTGCCGCGGCGGCCAGGTCGAGCGGGGGCGTGGGCACGCCGTACGCCTGCGCCACCACCACCCGTCCGCAGCCAGGTGCCGCCTTTGGCCCTCAGCGCAGCCCGGATTGCAGGCGCCACTGGTGAGCCTTGCATGTGGCAGAAGGAGCACCCGAGCCCACGCTGTGATGATCCGCGTCGCGACCTTGGCGGCAGCCCTGGTGAGCAAACGCGTGAGGAATGCGCGAACGTGGCCTCCTGCGCCGAAGGACGCGGACAGGGGGAGACCGAGCAGCGCCCTTGCCACGCCGCAGTGCGCGCGGTTCAGCTGCGCAGCCACCTCCCGACAGCCCCGCGCGTAGCTGCCCACCAGCTCGGCCCCGTGGTAAGCCGCTGCTTCCAACGGGCAGGGAGTTGGCCGAACTTGAGGGGCAGCCCGAGGCCTTAGTCCGTCAATGCCGCCACTAGGCGCCGCGTCTCGTCGCGCAGCCTGCCGCACACGTGGGCCAGTAGCGGTTCCAGCGACAGCGCATCGTCGATTACAGAGAAGCGAGAGGCACACGATAATGGGATCGAGAAAAGAGGGGAAGACCAGGTTGTGTAGTGTCCGGGGGATGGCCCCAGAATCCCGACGTCGTGTTGATGGATCATATACAAATACAGATGACAAATCCCCCAGAGGTCTGGCTTCCTAGCGAACGGTTCTTCACTTCCCAGGGAATGTTTTTTCATCAGGACTCTTTCTTTGACGGCCCCGAGGGCCAGTGGTGGCCCCCAGAGGCCGAAAAGAATTGAAAACCTCCCGTCGTGATTTGGTCACGACGCGATGGAGGTCAGGGGAGATGGAGGAGGAGGAGGAGGAGGAGGAGGAGGAGGAGGAGGAGGTGGAGGAGGAAGACACAGACCACGACGAGGGCGAGGATGGCCTTCGGCGGCAATCGTTCAGCCGATCTGCAGGCGCGCGCCCGGTCACGTCCCGGACCGTCTGCGAGGCCGCAGCGCGCAGCCTCGGCATGCCCGACACCCGGGCCAAGACCATCGATAGCGGCGACGGCAGCAACGAAACCAAGCCGGAGGGTTGCTACTACTTCCGCAACTTCGAGGACCTCACCGCGACGTTGTGGCTCAACACGGCCGAGGCCGTACGAGCGGGGAGCAAGAAAACTAACAGGTCAAACCGAAATTCAGACCGCGCCCCAAGAGAGGTCCAGGCAGTGGCGGAATGGGAGGAGGAGGAGGAGGAGGAGGAGGAGGAGGAGGAGGAGGAGGAGGAGGAGGAGGAGGAGGAGGACGAGGAGGATGTCCCCAGGGGCCCGCCCAGTGGGGCCGTGGGAGGAGGAGGAGGAGGAGGAGGGAGGAGGAGGAGGAGGAGGAGGAGGAGGAGGAGGAGGAGGATGTCATGCTTCGTGGTGGATTCGGGCGACGAAGTCTATACATTATCCCCTGCTCCCTGGCCAGGCCCATCCTGAGCCCAGGGGTTGTGCATACGCCCTCCTGGCCACGCCGGGAGGGCGCAGCGTATACACAGCTGCTGGGTTCAGGATGGGCCTCGCCGGGGAGCAGTGGATATGTATAGATTTCGTCGCCCTATGGACGTCGTGCTTCTTGCCCACGAAGGCCGCCCGGGGGCAGGGGGCCGAGACCTCCGACCGCGACAGGGGCCTGCTGCGGCAGCCCATCTGCGACTTTGGCGCAGACGGGGGGGCGGACGCCTAGGCCAGCGCGCGGCGCCGTCCAGAGAGGGCGCCTCGCCAGCGGGAGCTGAGTAGAGTTAAGTCGGGCCTGTCCCTCTACAGGAGGAATGTTCAAAAATGGACAAAAAATAGTCGGGGGGCATTTTTTTGTTTTTCCCCCCAATTTTTGAATTGTTTTTTTTGTCATTATGTTTGATGTACTTGTTGTTTTCGAACAACATCCGGCTGTAGTTGGACACGCCCGACCTAACAGTAGAGGCGCAGCTCGGCGTGGCGTTCTGGCCTCCGGTCACAAGCGCTGGTCCTGTTCATTTTGCAGGCGCGCGCGCAGTAGAGTCGCTCGAGGGCTGCGCTGCGTCCGCGTCAGCCTGCCGTAATCCACAGCCGATGTTCTCTCATTGTCTTCCAGTCATCGTGGTTCTGGTTTAAGGTTTAACGCCTGGCCAGGTTCGCCGGCGCCTGGGCATCGTTTGCATGCGTTTTTTCGTAGATGCATCTTCCTGCTTCCCTCGAAGGACGAAGTCATCACATCCAAAGCGATCAGAGCTAGAAGCGTCTGCGCTTGGAAGCGAGCGGCGCCTAGCAAATTGACTTGTCGCAGGCTCGTCTTCGTCCCAGAACCTCCGCGCTATTCTGCAGCTGTGCAGAAATACTCTCTCTGTGCTGCTTGCGTAATGTACAGCCTGTGCGCCGCCCACTTAATGTGTCTGAAGCAGCCAGGCTGGGCCGTGCTGGTCGACGAAACTACGATTTCTTCTTGGTTATCCTTCTCTTTCCCCCTCCCTTCTCCTCATCATAGTCCGTATTGCCACATGCGTCTCAGCAGAGGAGATCCGGCATCGCCTCTTTACCTTCAGGGGCCCTGATATACCAGGGCATTGGCGCGCCGAAACAAACTGCAGCGGTTGGTAGAAAGCAAGAATTGTCCAAGTCCTGGGTTAGCAATGTCCTGGTTCGGGGACCGTGGCCTTCATCATCCGCTCCTCCTCCTCCTCCTCCTCCTCCTCCTCTTCCTCCTCCTCCTCCTCCTCCTCCTCTTCCATCGGAGGAGGCAAATCGGCATAAACTAACTGTTGGAGCTCTGCCCGGATTTATTGGATCGGCGTCGGATCCTGAGGGGGTAGCGCCGATCCAAGAAATTTGCACGGAGTTCCGAACGCCTATGTTTATGCAGCTTGTCTTTTTTGGGAGCCAGAATCCCATCGCCCGCAGTGGCTGGCGGATACAGCAGAGACTTCAGATAGCAAGCGGAAGCATTCGGGGCCCAGGAAGGGCTCCGGGCTCTTGTCTTAGGGCCGCTCAGGAGATCCAGGCATCGGGGGCCCCCAAACGGGGCGGTGACCACACCGTGTGGTGAGTCGGTGGGGATTCGGGGTCACCGCACGGTTTTGGGACTCGGGTCGTTCTCCGAGGACGTCTCGGGCGACTGGGGCATCCGAGGTCCCAAACCGTGCGTTGACGGACCGTGCGGTGAGGTCTTGGGGGATTTCGAGGTCACCGCACGGTCTGTCACCGCACCGTTTCGGGACTCCAAAAGGCAGGGGGGCCTCTTCGTGGCCGAGGTTCTGGGTGATCCGAAGAGCCCCCTGTGCTTTTTGTTCGGCGAGTGACGTATGGCAGCACGATGGTGTAGGCCTCCTAGATGGGGTCGGAGTAGATGGGGTCGGAGGATCGCGCCGCATCACCGATGCATAGGCGATGCGGCTCGATGTGGAGCCCGACTTGCTCCACGACGACGTCGCCGATGCATAGCCGACGTCGACGTTGCATCGCTGGTGCAATGCCGATACATCGCCGATACATCGCCGGTGTATCGGCGATGTGGCGCGATCCTCCAACCCCATCTACTCCGACCCCATCTGGGCGGCCTCTAGATTCTAGATGACCGAACTCGGCATCCCAGGGGCGTGTGTGGGGGGGGGCTCTTAGAACGGAGGGCGGCCACATGGGATGGGCCCAGAGGCTCTTCGGGAGGGCCTCTGGGAAGCTAGGAGGGCCTCTTTAAGGAGCCCCTTGCTTCCAAGTCCGCCCACCTCTGACCCACCCCCTTGTTCTGATACAGCCAGGACCCCAGGTAAGGGGGCGCGGGTAGCAGTAGGGCCCCGGAGCCCTTAAATTTGCCAGAATCACTAAACCAGCTCTGCCGTAGCTGGTGTTTTTTTCGGGTGACGGCAGTTCTGGTTAGTGGAACGGGGCCTGGGGGGCGCCCCCCAGTCCACACCACGAAACCAGGTCCCACTAAACCCAGTTCTGCCAACGCCCGGCTTGTGCGCGCCGCCCGAGGTCGTGGTGATCGGCGCGCTGCCGTGCACTGCTGCTGGTCGGTCGCCGCGTGCGGTGGCTCTCTTGCGGGTCGGTGCCAGAGGCTGCCAGGAGCCCCTGCCGACACGAAGCCGCCCCTCGCAGGCGTCCGGTCTGCCTCTCCTGGGCTCCGTCGTGCCGGGCCGCCGGCTGCCTCGGGTTCTCGGGCACAGTCCGCTGCCAAGCCTCACCCTGCCGGGCGGCTTGCGCTCCGCCGATGGGGCCAGCGAGGGCTGGGCTTGCAGCTCTGCCGAGGGTGGCCTTACGTGCCGTCGTTGTGCTGTTTGCAGCCCCCTTGGTTGTGATAGCGGCTGTGCTGGATCAGGGATCTGAGATTTGTCCAGGGGTACGCAGACAGGCAGGCACCCAGCCAATGGGGTATACTCGCTGCTGGTGGCTGAGGCCATCGTCGCCATTGCAACTCCAAGCTGTGAGTTAGGAGTTGGGAAACAAGGCCAGGATACCTCTTCGGCTCAATTGTCTTGTACATGCCGTCAGGGCTCAGGCGGGTAGAGCTCATCTCATCGTGGTGAGTCAGTATGCCTCTCTCGGCCTGGCTGGAATGTGCTGTTGCAACGTGGCAAGGTCTACCGTCAGGAAGCTGATTGGTTTCGTCGACTTGGTGCCGAAGTATTTGTGATCCTCGGTGACCGTGTCGACTCGTCGAGTAGCAATGGTCAGGCCGCTGTCCAGGCGTGGCGGGCAGCTCGGCACTCTGTGGCAATGGGGACGTTGCGACACCGTGCTGTCGCTGACATCCGCAGCGTTGCGCCAGCCAATGTATCTCCCAGTTGTGCTTGGTCTCGCTGCTCGCCAATACTTGACATTGTCGCGCATGCCCCATGGTTGTTGACGGGAGCGCGCCGGTGGGGGCAGTGGAAGCCGTAGTTCAGTGGCGTGCGGCGAGCGTCTGGCCACGGCTGGTCTGGGGGTCCGGCCAGGAGGCCCCTGGGGCTAGAGAAGGAGAGGGGAGGATCTCGGGGGGGGCGGAGGATACGGCACGATCGCGAGAAAGGGTGCAGGGGGAGGCTCGGAGCGCTGCGGCGAAGCCGCCCCCAGGTCGCGCGCGCAGGCTGCTCCTTCTCCTCCTCCTCATCCTCCTCCTCATACTCCTCCTCCTCCTCATGCTCCTCTTGCTGCTCCTCCTCTTCCTCCTGCTCCTCCTGCTCCTCCTGTTGTGATGGGGCTTGCCTGGGGTCAGTCTCAGATGTTGGTTTTCGTCACGTCAGGCTCAGACCTTTGCCAAGCTACACGGGAGCGAGTGGGCAATATGTGGGCCGAACCAGTGGTGCACTGCTGAGAATACTTTGGGTGCGCGTGGCTTCAGATTTGGATCGCGTTTGGGTCACTCTCAGAATTTCGTCTTGCCCTCCGGTTCGTGTGGCATATGCTTAGTCCACCCTGTTCGTTGTTTATATCCTTACTTCACGTTGTACACACATTCGTTGTACATGTGCATCCTGCCGAGTCATTGTGCGTATGCTTAGACCAGCCGTGCGTGACTCACGGGACCATCACGTGTCGCCCACCTCGGACGAGCGTTCCAGACAGTATTGACACACAGTTGAAATACACGTGCCCTGTTCAGTCTCCAGGTCCGCGCGGATTTCTTGGGTCTGCGCAGAATAGCCTTCCTTGGCGCGCGGAGCGCGCCAGGAGGGTCCAGCACTTACCCAAGACATCGGATTTCTGGCAGTTTGTGTGTGTGTGTTTTTGTGTGTGTGTGCAGTTGGTTCTTATTTTGAGAAGAAGCATTGCTACAGCTTAGGCAAGGTGGCCCGATCACTGCACGAAACTATTTCCCCAGATGAAGTACTTCCCGATCCCGCTGGTGTTCACTTTGATTCCGACGATCTTGACATCGCTCATGGCGGGCAAATGGAGTATCGGTGGATTGGTGCGCATGGGATGCGCCATTCAGAGGACAGCGAGCGTCTGGGACCGATGGGCAATAGGGGGCACAGTAAGGTTGAGTCGAGCGTGCCCCTCTACAGGAGGAATAGTTAAAGATAGTCAAAACATAGTATAGGGACGATTTTGGGACTATTTTTACATAGTTTGGGGTATTTGTTTGGTATGTTTAATATTTCGCCCAGCATCTGCCTGTAGGGGGACACGCCGGACTTAACAGTAGGGCGCATTGTTGCCCTTGCAGTGCCTCTTGGCCTTCAGTATTTGTTTGGCTTGGCAGGGCAACTCTGGCAGTCAGGTGCTTGGCGTGTGGTCCCTGTCCCTGCCGAGATTGGCAAGACGTCGCACGATTGGCCGCCTGCAGTCCGACTTGCGACCCAGATGCTGTCAATGTTGAGCTACACTGTCAATGTTGAGCTGCACCGTCAATGCTTCGCTCTCTGGGGCGTTGCTGTGTTCCTGCTCGTTAACATTTGTCACGCGTGCGGGGCTACACTGTCAATGCCGCGCTTTCCTGTGGCTTTGTTGTGTTCCCGCTCGCAACGCACACCGCCAGAGGCGGCGGAGAGCTTGAGAGATCCACCTACCGAAAGTGCTTGCCCTTGCACCTGCGTTTGGTTACTTTTCACGGCCTTCCAGGGTACCCGCGTCGCCACAGCTGGACGCAGCTCGCGGCAGTCGTGAGGGTGGTGACCAGGGGAGGTCCGTCGATGTTTTTTTAGCCTCGGCTTTTCGAGAGCGAACCATTTGTTCTGAGGCGAGGTCGAACAACGGGGAGGCCATCAGTTTGTTTGCCCTCCTTCCCTGCAT